TTATATACTTTTAAGGGGGGGAAATACAAGTAAACACACAATTATCCTCGTGTGAATAACATAAATCTTTTGTTATACTTTTTGTTATAATCAATCATATGTGATTGATAACTATCATACGAAAACATTCACATACAACATATCACGAGAACACTTGGTCCTTTTTGGGATAAAACATGTTGTTAAGTAAATATGAAACACTTTGTTTATATTTTGAGTATAAATGTTCAACAATGTTATTACAAATGTTATACTTTACATACAAAGTCGACACTACGCTAGGGTTTATATACAAACGAATTACACTTTTGGAAAAACTATAATAGGTATAGTTTACTAGATATTCATGAGATTTCACACACTATAAATACTATATCAAGGGAATACTTTCATATACAAGAACAAATGGACTTTTCATACGTAAATCTATTTGATACTAAGTTTTGTGAGACATTCAACTTCACGTACTTTCAAGTATGCAGTTAAAGTCCTGTATTATATACCATAATCTCTTGTAGGGAGAGCGTGATTCTTGTGTATAGATCTATACAGGATCGACAATCCCGCACCTAAACTGTTAGCTACAGTTAGACTGGCAAGTCTGGGGTGACAATCGTCATAACATTCCAACGCCTGAAGAACGTTGTTACGGGCAGTGTGGGTCAATAGCATGGTTATAAAACTCACATGGAGTATTAAAAACACGTTGATTTACGGGGTTATCAAATGCCTTAGTGATTTTATACATACATAAATCTACTATTCTAGGCATGAAAAGCACTTTTGCATTTCAGTTTTGGAACTTTAAACTACCACACATTTATGGAAAAACATGGGATTTCTAAAAGCAAACATTCAAATCAGTCGGGTCTTGGTAGAAGACTAGTTTTATACTAGTAGGAAATATAGGATTTTCTAGGAGTTTTCAAACATATACAAACAATTTCATTCTGATTTATACAAACATTAACATTAAATACTTATGAACTCACCAGCTTAAATGCTGATCTACTCTTTCAAATCTACTTGTATTTCTCAGGGATTCAGTAATACAGGTAACTTCAGCTTTTGGAGAAGTGACGCTAAGGCGTCAGTTTAAAACTCATTTTATCATCATATTGTAATTTGTTTTGAAACAAGTATTATTCAACGATGTAACTTTTAAATTATATATATGATGGTTGGTTTACTTTCTTTACTATGTATTCAACTGTTACGATACAACATGAAGTCATCCGCCCTCGAACGATTCCGCCATTCTGGTTTGGGGGTGTGGCAATACTGACCTATTACCTAGTTTTATATGATTTAAAATGGAATTTAAACCAGTTTTTTTTAATCATTTGCAAAAGACTTAACATATTTTCCATCATATTGTTGGTTTTCGATGATAAATATGCAAAAATAAATAATTAGAAAATTATAACGTCGATTGATTGATGCTCGTGTTTGACACAATTCCCTTAAATAGTTTCGTCATCTGTTCCCAGGGTACAACAGTTAAAACAGTATGTACTGTCGGATCTGACCACTTTCCTAAAAAGTTTGTCACAATTTGTATGCAGAGAGAGGATAAGAGAGTATTCTTATATTCTAATCTTTGTAACTGTACTCATTAAGTCAAAATTAAATAAAGTAATTATGCATTTAGTAATGCAAAAACATGGCTTGCTGTGTGAGCCAAGAATTTTTGAGTTGCATTCTGTGTCTATAGGTCACGAGTCACGCCCACACACGAGTTCCTTAAATTTTGTTAACAAATTCTATGATTTGCACCCCCTGCATGTTCATAGGTGTTGGAGTAAAACTATACGTAGAAGCTTTTAAATCTATTATATATCTATATTTGTAAACCCACTAAGAGTTTGCTCGCTTTTCTTATGTGGGAGACTTTTCCACACCCACTTTATTTGTTAACTTTATTTTCAAATATTTATCTTTGAACATCGATATCTCATTCACAGATTCTCCGTGTTGGACACAATATTTTACATTTCGATGCTCTCACGGTGGAGAGGATAGCCCACTAAGGATTAATATATATATATATATATATATATATATATATATATATATATATATATATATATATATATTTCATAATTTTTATGAAATTTCCAAGACATTTCATATTTGCTTATTATTTGGGAGTGGATGAATAATTTCATCTAAAACTTTCAACATTTTTTTTATTTAAGTATGATTGAGCTGGTAATTCCCAAACTAATTAACATGAGTGTATGAATATAGTTACGTTTTTAGTAAGTCGTTTTTTAGTAAGTCGTTTTCTGGTCACCTGCGTATTATTTGGAAGTGGATGATTAATTTCATCTAAAGTTTCACCATTCTTATATTTAAAAAATAATTGAGCTGGTAATTCCAAAACTGATTAAACATGAGCTTTGAATATATTTCCTCTTTTAGTAAGGAGTCATTTTCTGTTCACCTGCATTATTCCACCCACGAAGTTTCCCACGAAGATTCCTTTGACATTTCACAAATCCTGATGTACATTGCATGCACCCTCTCCAACAAAGTTCTTCTATAAGTTAAACCCTTCTCCTGCTCTTCCGTTTAACCAATCAAGAAGATCAGGTACATTTCTCCTCATTCCTAGGCATATAACAAAGTTCTTCTATTAGCTTTTCCGTAATTGTTGATGTCATTCAGGTTTGTACAATTTCCTGTACCTCTATCAGTGTGTTAGATGCTTTTATTGCCAAGTTGTTTTCATTAACTTCCATTTTGTCTGCACATTACATAATTAGATAAGGTTTTATTCTATGTAATTGTTCTTTTGGTTTAGTCAATTAACCGCATAATTTTCAAATTTCAGGATGAATAATTAATGACAGTGCAGTCTAGTTAGACGTACGCGGGTGAAAGCGCTGAGAATGAAAAGGAAGCGGCTTATAATTGTATCTCATCCACTGAACATTAAGTCATTACTCATATACAAACTTCGATTCCAATAGAATCTAAAATCATTATACCCTGCTACTTACCTCCTTATTTACAAAAAATTTGTTTATAATTGTATCTCATACAAGAACATGATTTATTCTAAGAGAATAACAAACATCTACATGTTTATAAAAACCGACCATTCTAGCAGAACAACACCTAAAACTATTTCATTCTACCAGAAATTACACAACAATCACAATTTCTTTTTGCAAAACACAAATCATACATGCATAAGTTATTCTAAATATACTTCTTACACTATAATACATCTTCGAAATCAATAAACATCAGATAAAACAAAAAATTGTTACTTTCAGGTTCCACAACAAAATCATCACCGTCATCTTCAAGATTCAATGTCGTCTGTACTGTGTTCTTGAACTTCGACTTGAATGAAGTCGAATGTGTACTCCTCATTCTGCCAGAATAAAGTTCACAGAAGCCCCCAAATGTTGATTCCGTCTTCTAGGGTTTAATGTCGATATTTATATCAAAAACCTTCCACGAATCTTCCGATTCTAAATATTGAATACAGAAAATCAGAATATGTGTCAATCTCCGAAAGCATTGGGTGTTTGATTTTGATAGTATGCAAGATATTTGGGATTATCAGTGGACCAATTCCATAATTATCGACGGTTTCCTATTAAACTGACGAGGCAAAGTACCATAGTACGCTTCCGTTCCTACTCATTTAATAAAATCCTATTAATTTGTTTTTTTTTTCTATTTAATATTAAAAGAAAACTACTTCCTTAATTTACCACAAAGGATTGGCCGACAATCCATAAAACAAGCACACAATATATATATATATATATATATATATATATATATATATATATATATATATATATATATATGTATATATATGTGTGTGTGTGTGTATATGTGTGTGTGTGTGTTCAAAGTTGAATAAAAATACATAAGTTTTATGAAATTTCCAACACATTTCATATTTGCTTATTATTTGGGAGTGGATGAATAATTTCATTTAAAAGTTACAACATTTTTTTTATTTAAGTATGATTGAGCTGGTAATTCCCAAACTAATTAAACATGAGTGTATGAATATAGTTACGTTTTTAGTAAGTCGTTTTCTGGTCACCTGCGTATTATTTGGAATTACCAGTTCAATTATTTTTTAAATATAAGAATGGTGAAACTTTAGATGAAATTAAGCTTTGAATATATTTCCTCTTTTAGTAAGGAGTCATTTTCTGTTCACCTGCATTATTCCACCCACGAAGTTTCCCACGAAGTTTCCTTTGACATTTCACAAATCCTGATGTACATTGCATGCACCCTCTCCAACAAAGTTCTTCTATAAGTTAAACCCTTCTCCTGCTCTTCCGTTTAACCAATCAAGAAGATCAGGTACATTTCTCCTCATTCCTAGGCATATAACAAAGTTCTTCTATTAGCTTTTCCATAATTGTTGATGTCATTCAGGTTTGTACAATTTCCTATACCTCTGATCAGTGTGTTAGATGCTTTTATTGCCAAGTTGTTTTCATTAACTTCCATTTTGTCTGCACATTACATAATTAGATAAGGTTTTATTCTATGTAATTGTTCTTTTGGTTTAGTCAATTAACAGCATAATTTTCAAATTTCAGGATGAATAATTAATGACAGTGCAGTCTAGTTAGAAGTACGCGGGTGAAAGCGCTGAGAATGAAAAGGAAGCGGCATAGTGTTTTGTTTGAAATTAAAGAAGAAATGAATTTTTCAATGCGGTTTCGTTGAATTTGCTAAACGACTTTTTTATTTCTTTTATATTTTCGTGTTGAAGGTGGCTTTTTGAGGATATCGTTATCATAATAATTTTTTGTTAAATCTTTAGTTGAAGGCAGAAATTTTTAAAAATTCTCGGGGTATACCATGAAGGATTTCTAAAATCTCATAAGCAAAACGATTTAAACAAAATCATAGGATTTAAAAATCCTCTATTTTTTTAACAAATACAAAGTCTTGGAGAAATTTCAGTTCCAAATCCTTCATATTCCAACCACCTCGATACCAGAATAAAAATGTCAGACTACATTCCTTCGAAAATCCTAGTGGAAATCTTCAAAAGACTTCCTGTGAAGTCAGTTCTTCAACTAAGATCCCTCTCAAAACGATGGAAATCTTTGATCGACAGCTCTAAGTTCATTGCTGGTTACGGGGCCCACCAAACTCAGCCACAGAGTCTACTTGTAACCTACAACGATCCAGAGAGCCAACACCAGGACGAAACATATGCTTCATTGGTTGATGATGAGACCTTCGTCCAACAAGAGATCCGTCCAATGCTTCCTGAGCTCACTAAACAACTTTTGATGTCACGTGTTATTGGTAGCTCTCATGGATTGTTCTGCTTGTTTGGTTACGAACCCAACAGTGAGATGGCTGTTCTTTGGAATCCTTCGATTAGAAAATCAGTTTGTGTAGCTGTGCATGGTGTGCTACTTATGCGTCAAAACGCCATTCTTGGTTTTGGGGTTTGTCGTATCACTAGTAACCCTACGATTGTGAAGATAGATGGTTCGGTAATTGAGGTTTTTACATTGAGCACAGGTAGTTGGAGAACTCTTCCCAACAATCTGCAGATTAATTCCATTAAGTTCTCATGGCGTCATGTAGTTATAGATAGGTTTATATATTGGCTTTCTTATGGTGAGAATGAGAAACCTCTTATTGTGTCATTCGATATGACTACTCATGACATTCAGCATAATAAGACTAAAAGAAGGAAAGATTTATTTAGGAGGAATTGTAAAGCGAAAGTAGTTTTAGATATAATTCCTGGTACTCTTAAATATGTTGTGAGTGATTTTGTCGAGCAACATAATCACGAGTTGTTTAGCAAAGGCAATATGTTCTTATCTCGTCAAAGAGAAAACTTGATTATTCGCAGGAAATTTTCATTCATAATTTGTCAAAACAAAATATTGGTCCTGTAAAATCACATAGACTGTATAGTGCTCTTTAGGTCGGTCCTTCGGTTCGAGGTAGATTGGTTTCTGATTTCAAGAATGCTAGGAGAAATATGAATTGTTACATAGGTGGGAGGGACGCGAAATTCCTTGTTGACAAGATGAATGACAGGAAGAAAAATGTCCCATCATTTACTTTTGAGTATAAAGTGTTGAACAAAAGATTGAATTCTCTATTCTGGGTGGACAAAACAGCAAAGTATAACTACAATTCATTCGGAGACGTTGTATCACTCGATGCAATATTCAGCATGAATAAGTATTTCTAACCTTTAATACTTTTACAATAAGAATTATATTGTTTTCAGTTATGTAAACTAATATTTTATTTTTAAAATAGGTATGATATGGTTTTTGTTCCGTTAACTGGCATTGATAACCACAAAAAATGTGTAACATTTGGTGCTGGACTTTTAAGTAAAGAAGATGGAGTTTCTTATGAATGGTTGCTTAGAGCTTTTTTGAAAGCATTTAGAAAACAACCTCAATTGGTTATATCTGATCAAGATCCAGCTTTGAAAAAAGCTATAGATAACGTTTTCCCGTTGGCACATCATAGGTTATGTATGTGACATATAACAAAGAAGTTGCCAAATAAGGTATGCATACAAAGACTAGTATCCTTATTTTTGTCATGATTCTATAATGATTTACTCATATTCTACCAGAATTAATTGACTTAACTTTTTTATTTTATTCATCCTCAATTTCAATTTAAACAGATTTTATCAATTGAAGATGCAACCACCAATCAAAAATTTCGAAAGCGTTTTCACTCTATAATTTGGAATTTTAAGCTGGAACCACATGACTTCGAGAATGTATGGCATATGATGTTGGAGGAGTTTAAAATTACAGATAATATTTGGATGAATACCATGTATGGTTTGCGAAGATCTTGGATCCCCGCATTTTTCAAGCACATTCCAATGTCTGGTCTTATGCGAACTACATCACTGTCTGAAAATCAGAATTGGTCATTTCAAACCACCACATTAACCGGTTCTCATCTTATCATGTTTATGATGACATTTGATTCTGTCATGGAACGACAAAGATATAATCAAATTCTCAATGATTTTAATACTGCCACCACTTTTTCTAAATTCATTACCCGTAGTCCGAATGAACCTCATGCTTCAAAGGTATATACGCACAAGATTTTTTATCAGGTCCAGAAAGAGATATCAAGAGCTGAAGATAATTGTTTCCAAAAGAATGTGATATCTTCCAACGGTGTTGACACAATTATTGTTTTGGAGAAAAAAACGACATACCCATTAGGCAAATAAATGATGTCGATGTTGATGACAAAGACGAGGAATACAATTACAATTGTCTTATAAGGGATACTGAATACACGATATATTTTTTTTCATATTAATTGTCATTTTATCCATTCAATTTTAAACTCTAAATACTTACAACTTAAACATTATCACTAATCATCTTATATATTCCAGGTCACACACTCAACAAAAGATGGTTCATTCAAATGTACTTGTATGCATTTTGAACATGTCCGGATCTTATGCAGACACATATTATGTGTGTTTAAGTATGATGACATCGAACAAATTCCTGAAAAGTACATTTTGAAACGTTGGCGTAGCGATGTTATCCAACAGAATTACTAAAAAGACACTTCACCAATTCTTTTGACGATTCTAATTCCGACATGATTGCTATTGACATTTTTTCAACTGTTGACCGTTGTGTGTCTTTTTTGAGTCATGATGCAACTAAGTTAAAGTTATACCTTGACGAGCAGAATAAGTTGAAAAAAAAATCGTACACGATTGTCCAAATCATGATTTACCGAACAGAGCAGAACATTTCAACAAGCTTCTAGGCGTGGTAGTTCCTGATGTAGTATATGATGTTAGTGATATTCAGAATCCTTCAGATATTCGTAACAAAGGATGCAGCAGTCGTGGGAAAAGATTAAAATCTAGAAAAGAGATGATTGAGAAAAGAAATCTCTAAACCTCAGAGAAAGTGTGCTACATGCAGACAGATGGCTCATCATGAAAAAAGAAATTGTCCTTTAAAGAACGTCCATAAATAGTTTCTTATTATGTTACTTTAATTGTTTTAGTACAAACACATTTCATTTTACTTTTGTCGGTTGACATTCAAATGTTATCTTTTATGTTGTTCAATAAAGTATTCACCTTAACCGTTAGTGACGATGGCATTGTCTTGTCAATTAATCTAACAATACTTATGTTTTTTATCTCTTAAAAATAATTATATAACGGAATACAAATATTTATTCCATCAATTCTATAAATACTGTATGCATTCCAACATAATTTTATTCTATCAGCATTAATAGAAAATTAAATACTATAACATATTCTATTAGTAGAAAATTAAATATTATAACATATTCGGTTAGAATAATAATAATAAAAATATTCTATCAGCATCAGAAAACTGTAAAAAAAACCCCGGGTATACAACATCTGACCATTTATTTAAAAAAGACACATCAACACATCCATTATTAACAACAAGCGTGTGTTAAATTTAAAACAACTTAATAATTTAATACTAAATTTTTGTCCTAAATAACCCATCAAAAAAATTAACATTAAACTACTACGCATTCTACCATAATCGCTTTTTCACAATGCACAACATCATCAATCACGAAACTAAACAATCCATCAACACAATCATTAAACCAAAACAAACATTCCATTAGAAGATATAAGTTTACATATTGATACCAATCATTCAAACCTTCTGAAAGACAAAGTACTTTTTCCAAAAGCTAACATAAACCAGATTTTTGTTTCAACAACCGCAAAAAAAAAAGTTCAAATACTATCATGTCAATACTTATCTTCAAAATACCAAACTACCACTTCAAATTCGTACCGACGACCTCTCGCTTTTCTCTTTTTCTTCCTATTTTCAGCTGACTCTTGAAGAAGTATGTTTTGTTCCAAAATATCCAGCTTACAAAACGCTTCAAAATCTTTAACTATCATACTCTTATACTAGTTGAAATCATCTGTCAACAATCTTGCCATGTATTTTTTTCTTAACTTAATTATAGCACTCACATCACCAGGCATTTTACCTGTAAGACCACACTCCCAACGCCCTTCATTTTCCCCCATGTAACTTTCCATATGTCTCATGAGGTAGACTCCACAATCTGTTCCAGAGTTTTCTACTTGCCAAGATATGTTCATCAACTGTCCCGCCTTAAAACTTAAGGCTTTTTCCATTAGATGATGTTGTGATGTTTAGTAGTTGCAAAATAGTTTTTTCTGTCATTAAATACAACAAATACATCAAACATAGTTTTAAAACAATCTTTAGAATGAAAAACTGTGTGTTCAGAATTTTATTCAGTATCTTACCACCAAATTTGGTATCATGCCATATTTCCTATCCAAGGTTCTTGTTCTCTTCACATGATCTACTATGTAGTATAAACTTGATCTCAGATCAAAGATCAGTAAGTAATACTTCGCATCATCAACTATTGGGAAGAAAACCTTGTATACATTAAAAAACAAAGTTAATTTAATATTAAGTGATGCAACAATTAATACATTTACTCAATATACTTACAAGCGCAACATCTCTGAAACTTGGCTTGACATCAAATTTCTTAATGTAGATTCGCAACAGAGTAGCAAAAAGCCTACATTTCAGATCTTCCGTATTTAATTCATTCAATATCTCTTCTATCTGTAAAAACCCACATCACCAACAATATTAATTCTAAAAAAATAAATTTGAATTTAAACTTTGTTTACAAAAAAAAATATTACCACAATAGTTGTATCGAAGAAAATATTTGGCAGGGATGATTCATCCTTGTAGTCCTCCATTTTATTTAAAAACCCAGCCCAACAGTCAATTACTTTAGAATGTATAAACATTCCTTGATTAAATTGGAATGCAAAACCCTGGTGCAACAAATGACCTGTTCCAATGTCCCAAATCTCATACCTGTAACAAAAATTATAAATAAAATCAATCTTCATACATTCACATTTCTATTCTAAAAAAATAATAAACAACTCATATATACTTACCCTTCATCTCTTTTAGATGCAAAAGCTGAATTGCATACTCCTGTTTCATCCTTAGTCAGTTTATCCCCAACCTTAAAAAAAATTTCAATATACTGGGAATGAAATATTTTTGCTTTTTTAGAGATACGTTTTTCCCTTTTGTCTTTATCAGCATCTTCTGCAGCATTATCAACAGCTTCTCCTAAATTTCTTCCAACCACATTATCCCCACTGAATCCTGACATTAGCTTTTTCCTTCTATACACCTGTAACTCAGTTTCTTCCAACAACTGAATCATTCCATCATTCACCCCCGGAAGTCGATGAAACTGAATCATTGTTAAAGAATGGGTATCAACATGTGTACTATAATTGACATCTTTCTCTATATTAACTTCATTAATTATCAATCCTCTAACAGGTGAACGATTTCCTTCACCGCCATCTCCTGTATCATTCATATTTACCTCATTATAACCCTACTGCTCATGCACTTTTTTGTTGTTTGCCCCTTCATGCACTTCCCTAAAAAGCTCATTCATCTTTTCCATCCACTCTTTCAACACCACACTATCAGGGAACTTTTCTAAACCATCCTTCAATGCAACCTCCATAGTACTTTTTTCGTTTAGAATTAACCCATAACTATGCTCTAAAACAGTAGCATATGCCTGCAATACATATAACTAATTATTATTTACATTACAAGAATATTTCAACAACTTTAAGATGGGAATTTTCACTTTATATTCTACCAGAATATAAATTCAACTACTAATTACATTAATTACAAATTAACTAAGTATGCAAACGAAAAATCTACTATTACCTCCTCATCTCCAAAATCCCTCTTAAAAGTGACCAATTGTTGCTCTTCACCTCCTGTTTCATCATTCATATCGACATCCTCATGCTCATCCCGAAATTGCCTCCCGAACCCTCCCAAATTGATTTCCAGGCGTTGAATCTCTAATAAATTAGCACCGGTAATATGCCCAATAAAAGGAAGCCTTTTATCTAACATTATAGAATACTTTATGTTATACACGTACACGAACTACAAAAAAAAACATTAAATTAATCAATACATCAATAATACATTACTACCAAATCTATACTATCATATAATACGATTTGACACTTACTAGCAGGAGTGTAATAGGACCAGTGTAGTAGCGTGATTTGTCATCCCTTTTCCATAGTTTTTTCCTTGATCCCAAACAGTCGAGCATATATTTGCACCAATTTAACTTTGAAAAGTCTTGTACCAACACCAACTTCCTTACCACTTTTATTTGAGTTGTTCCCATCAACATTGACTCTATGAAGTTGTTAACGAAAAGAGTCAAAAAAATTCAGTCTAAACATCAAACTATCTTTTGATGTAGACTGAATTCTTCTTAAATACTCCTCACCATTGAACTTATCACAAGGATATTGTCCCTTCCATTCTTCCAGAATTTGATTTCCCTTATCACACAATGGCAGCTCATTGATGTCTTCTCCACCAATTGGCAACCCCATCATATCATGGATTGTCTGTTCTGTGATCTCAATAACAGAGTTTTGTAGGACAAGTCTTCTACTATCAGAATCATACACATCTAAAAGATAGTAGCTTAGTTGCCCCAGATAACTTGTTATATTCACTTGCAAAATTGACCCATAACCCCTTCTTAAGACTGCTTGTTTTTGTTCTGGTGACATGCCCTTAACAGCTGCAGTGATGTTATCACATTTCATTCTGGTTGGAATGTTTCTTAAACCAGGTGGATATTCCTTACTTGTTTTTCTAACATTATCTTCTTGTTCCTCATTGACAGAGTCATCAATTCCCTTATTCTTTAAATTTTTTACAATTGGAACTCTCTCATATTTTCTCTTTGACCTTATCTCTCTTTCCAAAAGTAGTACATTTAAAGGTTTAGGACTTTTCTTTTCTGGAACTGATTTATCAAATTTTTTCTTTGACCTTCTTTCTCGTTTCACGTGTTGTTCTTCTTCTTGTACTTGTTCAGCTATAACACATAATAAATATTAGAATGTATATTATAATATATTAAACATTTGAGTAAAACACATTATGTTAATTGATGTTTAAAAATATAAGATATTTTTATTATTCCAACAGAATAAAAATTTACTTTTACAACACAAATATAACATATACAAAATTACCATTATAAGAGGATAAAAAAAGGACAGAATAATCAATAACACACATAAATACAATTCTAACAGAATATAAAAGAAACTACCATATCATCATACATGTCATTTCGATACATAATACACTGCACATTGAAATACATATATTCAAACATATATTCGTATTCTATTGGAATATATTACATATAAATTCTATCAACCTACAAAAATTGTAAATTTTTCAATTTACCCCATAATTATATCTTAATAAAAACTTAATCACAAAGAGTAAACATTCTACACACATTGATTCAATGATAACAGTATAAAAAAGAAATTCACAAATTTAAATTCTATAAGAATCTTACACATTTCAACTCAACACAAATAATCCACTGAACATTGAAATACTTATACTCATACACATATTTGTAATCTATTAGAATATATTACATATGAAGTCTATCAATCTACAAAAAATTGTAAATTTTCCAAGTTACCCCATAATTCTAAGTTAATAACAAAGAGTAAACAAAGAGTAAACATACTCTCCATGGGTATACGTACACTCATAAAAATCGTTCCATTCTAATAGAATTCAACACAAGTAGAGTATATCCCATTTGTAAGAATTTTGAATGTTTAGTTTAAGTCATTACTCATATACAAACTTCGATTCCAATAGAATCTAAAATCATTATACCCTGCTACTTACCTCCTTATTTACAAAAATTTTGTTTATAATTGTATATCATACAAGAACATGATTTATTCTAAGAGAATAACAAACATCTACATGTTTATAAAAACCGACCATTCTAGCAGAACAACACCTAAAACTATTTCATTCTACCAGAAATTACACAACAATCACAATTTCTTTTTGCAAAACACAAATCATACATGCATAAATTATTCTAAATATACTTCTTACACTATAATACATCTTCGAAATCAATAAACATCAGATAAAACAAAAAATTCTTACTTTCAGGTTCCACAACAAAATCATCACCGTCATCTTCAAGATTCAATGCCGACTCTACTGTGTTCTTGAACTTCGACTTGAATGAAGTCGAACGTGTACTCCTCATTCTGCCAGAATAAAGTTCACATAAGCACCCAAATGTTGATTCCGTCTTCTAGGGTTTAATGTCGATATTTATATCAAAAACCTTCCACGAATCTTCCGATTCTAAATATTGAATACAGAAAATCAGAATATGTGTCAATCTCCGAAAGCATTGGGTGTTTGATTTTGATAGTATGCAAGATATTTGGGATTATCAGTGGATCAATTCCATAATTATCGACGGTTTCCTATTAAACTGACGAGGCAAAGTACCATAGTATGCTTCCGTGCCCACTCATTTAATAAAATCCTATTAATTTGTTTTTTTTTTTTCTATTTAATATTAAAAGAAAACTACTTCCTTAATTTACCACAAAGGATTGGCCTACAATCCATAAAACAAGCACACAATATATATATATATATATATATATATATATATATATATATATATATATATATATATGTGTGTTCAAAGTTGAATAAAAATACATAAGTTTTATGAAATTTCCAACACATTTCATATTTGCTTATTATTTTGGAATGGATGAATAATTTCATTTAAAAGTTACAACATTTTTTTTATTTATGTATGATTTAGCATGTAATTCCCAAACTAAATGAACATGAGTGTATGAATATAGTTACGTTTTTAGTAAGTCGTTTTCTGGTCACCTGAGTATTATTTGGAAGTGGGTGAATAATTTCATCTAAAATTTCACCATTCTTTTATTTAAATATAATTGAGCTGGTAATTCCAAAACTGATTAAGCACGAGCTATAAATATATTTCCGTTTTTAGTATGGTGTCATTTTCTGGTCACCTGCATTATTCCACCCATGAAGTTTCCCACGAAGTTTCCATTGACATTTCACAAATTCTGATGTACATTGCATGCACCCTCTCCTACAAAATCCTTCTATAAGTTAAACCCTTCTCTTGCTCTTCAGTTTAACCAATCAAGAAGATCAGGTACATTTCTCCTCATTCCTAGGCATATAACAAAGTTCTTCTATTAGCTTTTCCGTAATTGTTGATGTCATTCAGGTTTGTACAATTTCCTGTACCTCTGATCAGTGTGTTAGATGCTTTTATTGCCAAGTTGTTTTCATTAACTTCCATTTTGTCTGCACATTACATAATTAGATAAGGTTTTATTCTATGTAATTGTTCTTTTGGTTTAGTCAATTAACAGCATAATTTTCAAATTTCAGGATGAATAATTAATGACAGTGCACTCTAGTTAGAGGTACGCGGGTGAAAGCGCTGAGAATGAAAAGCAAGCGGCTTAGTGTTTTGTTTGAAATTAATGAAGAAATGAATTTTTTAATTTGCTAAACGACTTTTTTTTTCTTTTTGAAGGTGGGTTTTGTGGATATCGTTGTCATAGTGATTTTTTTTGTGAAATCTTTAGTTGAAGGCAGGGATTTTTAAAAATTCTCGGGGTATACCATGAAGGATTTCTAAAATCTCATACGCAAAACGATTTAAACAAAATCATAGGATTTAAAAAACCTCTATTTTTTTAACAAATACAAAGTCTTGGAGAAATTTGAGTTCCAAATCCTTCATATTCCAACCACCTCGATACCAGAATAAAAATGTCAGACTACATTCCTTCGGAAATCCTAGTGGAAATCTTCAAAAGACTTCCTGTGAAGTCAGTTCTTCAACTAAGATCCCTCTCAAAACGATGGAAATCTTTGATTGACAGCTCTGAGTTCATTGCTGGTTACGGGGCCCACCAAACTCAGCCACGGAGTCTACTTGTAACCTACAACGATCCAGAGAGCCAACACCGGGACCAAACATATGCTTCATTGGTTGATGATGAGACCTTCGTCCAACAAGAGATCCGTCCAATGCTTCCTGAGGTCACTAAACAACTTTTGATGTGACGTGTTATTGGTAGCTCTCATGGATTGTGTAGCTGTGCATGGTGTGGTACTTATGCGTCAAAAGGCCATTCTTGGTTTTCGGGTTTGTCCTATCGCTAGTGACCCTACGATTGTGAAGATAGATGGTCCCGTAATTGAGGTTTTTACATTGAGCACAGGTAGTTGGAAAACTCTTCCCAGCAATCTGCAGATCAATTCCATTAAGTTCTCATGGCGTCATGTAGTTATAGATAGGTTTATTTATTGGTTTTCTTATGGTGAGAATGAGAAACCTCTTATTGTGTCATTCGATATGACTACTCATGAATTTAGAACAACAAACATACCAGACAGTTTAGCACAAAAGTCTTCTTCTTCGTTTTTTTCCATCTCTAAGGTGTCTGAGGGTCTTGCTGTGCTTAAATTCAAAGGTATAAGGACAGGAGGTTGGGATGTATGGATCATGGATGATGGTGTTCCAAATTCGTGTACAAAGTTATTCACCATTAACAATATACCAGGTGAAAACTTCAGGAATATACTGGGATTTACAGAGAGGAGTGAACCTATACATGTTCCTGGGGAGTGAAAGAACTCCATGTTTGTCTATGAACCATGCTCACAATACATTATTGATATTGGGATTTATGGAAATAAATATCCAGGTTCTGTTGGTTACTACATGGAAACCCTACTTCTGCTTGATCAGCCGGATTCTAGTGTTTATGTGGAAAATAGTGTTGGACCGATGGATTTCATGTTGTGGATCAATTCACTGCGGGAACCCGTCGAGGTCTCCCCTAGCCAATCCACTGCATCCACGTCTCCCCTAGCCAAGCCGCCCGCCATTTCTCCATTATGTCTTTGCTAAGGAAACTTTGTAACACCTTTTAAATTTGATGCAAATTGGACGTATGATATTTGAATAATTAGAGCAGAAATTAATTGTGTTTTCTCTCATCTCTGTTATGTTTGGTAATTGATACAATTGATAGTTTGTTTGATTGTTCATGAGTTTTCTAATCAGTTCAGTTATTCTTTACATCGTGTTGCAATATGTATGAAGATTTCAATCTTCTAGTATTTGATGAATGGGATGCTACACAATAGAATATTAGAATAGGTTTGACTTTGTGAGGGTTTTATTCTTGGTTTCAATCCGAATCAGCTTGAAGGACTTGTTTAGTGTAGACAATCGGGTTTCATTTACATATTTTTTTAAACAGGTTATAACCTCCCTATTAAAGATAGAATGCATATTGGTATCAAGCATGTAGTAACGAGTGTTGAATATAATATAATACAGAGATAATGTAATTATTATTGTTTATGTTATTTGTTATAATTTTCATATTAAAAAAACAAATTAAACGGGTATCCACTACTAGAAAAACAGAAATTGAATACATAAGATAGAATACGGTTATAAGCAAAATCTGTTTTAGATGTAGAAAACAGAATAGAATACAAAAGATAGAATAAAGTTATTAGGATAGTCAGTATTAGATTAAGAAATATAGATAGATCATAATATATAGTTATATAAAATTAATCAATTTTAAATAGTTACTCGTTATATTTTTTTAAATAGAATCGAGTGTGGAGACTGACATCACTGACTCAGTCCTAAAATAGAGTTCCGATACCCCACTACCATCACCATCACCATCATAATCGACATCACCGACTATTGCCGCCATCAACATGTTTGGATTTCATGGAGATCTAATCCTTGCTCGAATTAATGAATCTTTCAAATTTGAACCTCCATGGCGAAATTTGAGAGTGAGTTTCATTTCAATACAATAATTTCTAATTAAATATCGATTTCGATTGGATTTCGGTAGGGGTTCCGTTAATAAAATTTCGATTTTGATTTGGTACTTTCTATTTGTCTTTAGATTCTGATTGTATATGGCTATGGATTATTCGATCTTCAAGGTGACATGGTTGATTTATTCTTTTGATTTAACTTAATATTTTCCATTTTCCAGTTACATTTGCTATGGATTATCATGTCTTGAAGATGAGATGATTGATTTGTTCTTTCAATTGATATTTTAAAGGCATATTTATTGTTCTTTTGGTATGTTCATGCGTTTAAAGGGCGAGATGGTGTTATTTATGTGAAATGCATTACGATTTTGTGGTTTTTTTTGTATAATGATAGGTTTAATTTGGTCGTGTATATGGAACTTAGGGTTTCGTAGTGAATGTATGTTGTGAGGTTAGTCAGAAGGAGAATAATGTTGAGTTCTTGTTGGTTTTCGGATGTTGATGTGTTTTTCAGAAGAATCATGACCAAAGAAGAAGAGGAAAGGTGTCCTTTGCGTACAGAAGAGATGGGTTGGACTGAGTTGATTCCTTGCAAATGTGGTTACAAGGCTTGGATGTTCACTAATGAAACAATTTCATTGCCTCTTAACTTCATTTATTTGGTGTTGACTTGTTTGATTAGTTGTTCTAACCCTCTTGTACTAGTTGTACTACCAATACAGGTGTCTGGTGTTGGCATCACATAATGGATATGGTAGAGAAAGATGCAACAAAGGGGCGTTCTGTTAACTTTCAATGTTCGAATAATTCAACGAAAAATGGTGTACATTATTGGAATCCCTCTTGATCTTGCTAATGAAGATGTAAGCACCTTTCAATCTTTTCTTTCTAAACATTAAATATTATTGTTAATAAGTTACCTTTTCTGGTGCATTTATTACAAAAAAAATGATTATTATGTGAAATATGGAAAAGTCATAAAATTTTCCCTTTATTGGACAGCTAGCAAGACTCTCCAACATTTTACTAACGACACTTGTTGTGTGTAAGTTTATAAGTTTGCATATTGAGTTGCTCTTATGCTTGATTTTAGTCCTAGATTTCATGATTTTATCCCTTTTATGTTCCCAGATATATAGTAACATGTATGCAATCTGTTCAAGGTTCTGTCAGGGACGGTAGGCTTTTAAGGTAAGCAAATGACCTTCTTGGCCTCTTGCATTATTGCATGTTTATGAGACATTTGCAGTGTGTAAGTTTATAAGTTTGCATATTGAGTTACTATGCTTGATTTTAGTCCCAGATTTCACGATTTTCTCCCTTTTATGTTCCCATATATATAGTAACATGTATGCAATATGTTCATGGTTATGTCATGGATGGTAGGCTTTTAAGGTAAGCAAATGGCCTTCTTGCCCTCTTGCATCCTTTAAAGTTATTGATAAAGTTCAGTAGTTGATTCTTCGCATTCTTGATGGTTTCCATACTAGTAACCATGTCCTGAATTGTGAATGCATTGGGCTGTAATATTTGATATGATGAACAAAATGTATTTGGCATTGAAATCCGTTGTATACATGTAACGTCCAAAAAATACCGAATAAAATTTTCATTTTTATTAAGTCAAAACCATTCATTCATCCATTATTCCAAAAGACGATCAGAGTAAAAGTATTCTCAATACACCAAAGTAAAATCATAAACAATCATTGCGGATTAATCTTCAGGAGATGCAGTGTGATCATGTCGGAACCTTCCTTTTGAAACCAGAAGTACCTGAAAAAAATTTAAACATAAACTGTAAGCACAAAGCATAGTGAGTTCCCCAAAATACCTCATACCATACATACATTTCAACCCAAAGCTGTAACGGGTCTATTTCACCCTATGTCCCTTCCAACTCTTTGAGTCCTGTCCGAGTCTCTAAGCTCCTTTCAACTCAATCGATGTTGTTCAGCCGAATGGGTCTATTTCACCCCTGAGTAAGTTCCGACTCAATCAGTGCTTTTCAACTGATCGGGTCTATTTCATCCCACATACCTATACCATATAGGCATACACACATACAATAAGAGTCACATAGACAACAAGCATATACGACACCTAATGTCTTACAATACATTAAGAAGACTCACCTGAACCACTCATTAGAAGCCCAACAACTATCTCAACATCAGAATATCCAACCCAAACTTCCTAAAACCAAACCAACACCAATCTTTAGTAAAATACTAAATTCTACCCAAGTTTGACCAAAAGTCAAACTAGTCAAAAGTTAACGGTCAAAGTCCACAAGGTCAATGGTCAGCTTGGTCAGAGTCAACTTCAAGTTATGACCATTCCTTGGTCACATCGTGAGAATGCAATGACAAAACAATCGCAATTATGGGCACCATCACTTTGTGACATATCCTATGTCACGTCTTGACTTCTGGTTAGAAGTCCAAAATCTTTATTAAGTGCTTAATAATGGAATAAAGTTTCGATCTTTATCCATAAGGATGGTCCAAACAACGAAGATATGGTCTTTAAGTCTCAAAGGTACCAAGAACGCATCTTTCTCAGGAAAATCCATTAAGTTTAAGTCTCCAACGTTCAGATCTGAGTCAACATGATGTTTAGATGGATAAAGTTTCCAACTTTATCCATAATAATGTCTCAAGCTTTCAAGATCTAAACTTTATTACACCAAAATAGCCTAAATGACCAAAATAACTTGCATGGCTGAAAGAGAAGGCGAAAGATCAAAACTTTCCAAGTCCATGAGGTCCAAGAAAACATTCTAAACTAATCAAAAGGTGCTAGAGTCCAGATGTGAAAGATACAATGTCCTTGGGACCTTCGAGAGTAATAAAGTTGCAAACTTTATTCCCAAATCTCACTCAAAAGACATTAAAATGGACCAAAACACCAAATACAGTTAGATCCAGGGTTGAAATGCAACAATGCTTGGAACTTTATAACTTACAAAGATCTAGAAGATAGATGACAGTTGAGATCTTAAATTTCTAAGCTTCAAGGATCAATGTTTAAATCAAAGAGTGTTTTCGAATGACAACTTTTAAATCCTTTGAACCCACTTTTGGGGTGTTGATGAAGATAGAAAAATCAAAGAGTATGATTTTCTCTACAAGTATCCACCGTCAAGATTAAGGAACTTTGAATGCTAGTTCCTTCTTATATTCTTGAGTGTCTTAAGCCCTTAATTACTTAACTCGAATACACACTAACAAAGACAACTCAAGAGAGCTTCTAATTCACCAAACTAGTTTCTAATAGAGAAAGGTGTTGGAGGAGAAGAATTTTCATACATAGTAGAGAAAGACTAGAAAAACTAGTCAAAAAGTTATGCAAAAGGCTTCCTTTTATACTCCCATGCAAGACACCTTTATATTATAATAACATAAAGTATTGGTAGCCTTTTAAAAGCGTGAGTGATGTAAGAAGGAAGTTAACACGCAACCTCTCTTATTATAATAATAATTTAGGCCATGCCTTCAAAGATAACAAAAATTGTCTAACTAGTAAAGTAGAAGGATTGTTTAAATTTTATAAACTCAAAGGATTCAACTAGTCCAAAACTTTGTACATGACTTATTAAATCATACCATATGATATAATAACTAGTTATACTCTCTTTTAATTATTATTTTTACAAAACAATAATTATTCCATAGTTAAATAAATGAATTGATATTACTTGTTAATAATCATATCAATAATAAAGATAAAAAAAATATGCTAAATTGATGAAGGTATAACCCTATAGGATCATATATTATTAGCAATATCACTTAATAATGATTCTTGGGCATATAGATTCAATGATCTCCCACTACATAATATTCATTACAAACTAACATTGATAGTAGCTCGCGTCTAGCAACGATCTACTGTCCCTAACAACATATGAAGGGTGTCATCTTATCTACAACCAATTGTAGGAGCTCTAAGCTAGAATTGTTATTAAAGGTGTGGTATCAGTTATTCCTTTTTCTCAGGCATCATGTCGAACATGAGATATGCATCATCATCAATCTCATTTAGTGTTCAACTTTTACTAAGGCCTTAGATGTCTAACTCTCAACAAATAAGAGGAACAAATCTCATCTTGACTACATATGCCCATCATGTAGTTCATGTCATACCCAACGATGGCCCTTATGACAACCTTTTACGGAGTAATGTTAAACCATGTCAAAGCACAACAATTCCTACACTTCAAGTACTAACTATGTATCTCAGGTCTAAGAATACAAAGATACAACCTTGACAAAATAATCACTCATTAATACGATCCATAAAGTGATTTTGATGCGGTTTAGGTCCAATACTTATTTTCCTAATCAAGTATCTATGGATTGGTAGCATCCCTTACTATTCTCATCTCCATCTGAATCAACCAATCCATTCATATTAGTCTTACTTCATAGATGCTCCTACAACTATGAACGACTACGGCCATTAGGATTAACCTAGTTATTCAAGGATTTAAACATGCTAATATAGAACACAACAATTATTTAATGAAATACTCATATCCAATATATCAAGTCATTACAATATATGTTGATTGTATTGTTCCAATATCCAAATACTAAATTTCAATCAAATACATCTACTCATATAAATAAGGCCCTATAGCACCAGGTTGACTTTTATGCTTTAGTTAATGAAAGAGCTTTGTTAAGTAGATCTGACAAACTTCATGTGTATAAACTTTGAAAATACAAACATTTATATATATATATATATATATATATATATATATATATATATATATATATATATATATATATTACTCGTATATATAGAAAACTATTGAGAATTTATTAGATGCTTAAATATGACATAGATACCAATACTTTCATAATGGGATTACACATAGTCATAATGAACTATATATTATGCATCATTTTATGTGGTTCTCCAAATCAAAATGTACTCTAACTCTGATGTGTAAATGTAATTAAAATCTACATGGAAACACTATCCGTCTAAATTCTCTTCAGTATGGAAGTTTAGCACATGTGTGACAGCTTTAAACATAGCTCTCTTTCAAGTACTCCACATGTTAGGAATATTTCTCTAGTTCTCACAAGTATTTTAGAATATCCCTATAAGTCATACCATGACTTGTTCTCGGATTATACTGGTATCTCGCATTACTGGTATCATTCGACATGCTCCAAGCATACTTTTCGGATTTATACTGGTAGCAGCATATGGAATACAATCATATTATCTACTTCAAAACATTGTACTAGGATTTTGAGGAGTTCTCAAAATCATGTCATGTGGTATTTGTCAAGATAAACTCTCTTAGAGTCTTATATCTCATGCTCTTTAGGATCCTTAACAATCAATGTAATTTTACTTAATCCTTTAAGTTGTCATGATCTATCTATATAGATCCTTATTCAAAGAATTAGTGTGTTAATCACATATAATACTAGGAATGTTACTGCGCTCCCATTAGATTTATAGAAAACAAAAGAGTCATCTTCATTAATAACTAAAACACACGATGTAATTATCTTATAAGAAAAAACATTCTTACTTTTAGATGTCATCTTAAATCTGGGAAGATTTTCATTCATCTATGTTTTCTCCTTTGAAAACTCACTTACTCTTTATGTTCACAATATATCGAGGAAGATTAATCAAGCCCATACTTGATAATCGGACATGAGTGCATATCTATGTGCTTTTATTAGTTTCTAATCAACTATCGAGCAGATTCAACAGTTATTGAAAAACATGCTAGTTCTAAACTATGATGCATTTAGCTTATGGTTCTTTACCTCATAAAGTTCCATATTTCTCCCACTTAGAAAAAGAACTTTCTAAGCACTTGTGTGATGGAATGACAATTCATCGGTTTAATAGAAACTTCATCCTAAATAATCATTTAGGATAATCTACATAAATGCAGTTAGTAGATGCTAGAGTGGTTAAGCTTATTGTCTAACATAAGCTCTAAAACTCCATACCTTTTAGATAAGGATAAACCATTACATCCTTAGTCTAATGAAAGTATTTAATCCATTTGTTTGGTTGGATATATATATATATATATATATATATATATATATATATATATATATTGTAGTAAGCATAATTCTAAATTTTTTATAAAGTAAATAGTTCTTTAAAACATCACACAGTAGACTGAATGGTCTATGTTTTATCCTCTTTAAAAACTTGTACTATCGTCATTCAATCAGTGGCCAGGTGACCCTATCCCACTAGAGAATATGAAGGCTACCTCGATCATCAAAATATGTATCCAAGTGACTAGGTGATCATGTGCCACAAGAACCATACTAATGAGAAGTGAGTGTTTTTGTCGGAATGAGTTGTGAATCGATTCAACAACTCCTAGGATTTTCCTAGAAGACTTGGTTTACAAAACTCATTTTCTTTAG